CAGTTAATGCCTTAGCAAGATATAACTCTGCCCCTACAAGGAGGTGCAATGGAATCAAACACATATTGTGGTATCTAAAAGGGACTACCGATATGGGCTTACTTTATGGCAATGATTGCTGTCCCGATCTTATTGGTTATGCCTATGCTGAGTATTTATCTGACCCGCACAAAGCTCGTTCTCAAACAGGCTATGTGTTTACATGTGGAGGCATTGTCATATCTTGGCAATCGACTAAGAAATCAATTGTGGCTATTTCATCTAATCATGCTGAGATAATTGCTATTCATGAAGCAAGTCGAGAATGTGTATGGTTAAGCTCTATAATACATCTTATTCGAGAAAAATGTGGTTTGAAGTATGACAAACTACCCACGATTTTGTATGAAGACAATGTATCATACATAGCCCAATTGAAGGGAGGATTCATAAAAGGAAATAGGACAAAGCACATTTCACCAAAGTTATTTTTCATACATGATCTTCAAAAGAATGGTGATATCAGTGTGCAACAGATTCGTTCAAGTGATAATATGGCTGATTTGTTCACCAAATCTCTACCGAAGTCAACCTTCAAGAAGCTAGTGTACAAGATTGGGATGTGAAGGCTCAAAGATGTGAATTGATGCCCTCATCAGGGGGAGTGAATACACGTTGTACTCTTTTTTCCTTACAAGGTTTTGTCTCATTGGGTTTTCCTTGCTAGGTTTTTAACGAGGCAACCAAAAGGCGTATTTCTAAACATGTGTACTCTTTTTCCTTCACTAGAATTTTTTTCTCACTAGATTTTTTTTTTTTTAAAGGTTTTAACGAGGTACATTACATGTTGAATAGACATTCGAGGGGGAGTATTATGAATAGAATTGTTCTTAGAGTAAATGTCTATCTTTTAGAGAGTGTGTTACTTTGTGGCTAAGTTATTTTTCCCCTATAAATAGAGGGGTTTTACCCAGCTGTAATTCATCTCAAAATTAATAGAATTCTCTCTTTTTTCGTTGCAATATACTTCTTTATTGTTTCATTTCACGTTTGTATTAGTAATACATTATACATTAATTGTTTTAACGAAGTGATGCAAGAAAGCCTATTGGAGACCAAATAATTACGTCAGTTAGAGTTTTATTCCAAAACTAAACCTTGTAATAATTATTCGAAAGTATCGTTTATATATCTTGTATTCTTGATTTATTTCCTTCAGTTAACTATATCTTATATTCTTACTAATTTATTTGTTCTCTCTCTTTACTAACTTTTGGAGTATAAATTTTGAATTTTTGAAAGAATGATAAAAATAACAGCGTTCATATCAGAGAAAGACAAACTTGCTATATTGCACAAATACACACAATATATGCAAATTGCAAAGAAGAGCTGATCGAGTAGTATACCGTTTTGGACAATTAAAATCATATATTAGCGTTTCTCGCCATTGATGGCATCTAACTAGATGAATCATTTGCCCTCCAAAACAAAGCTATTCTGTTCACTTCACAACCCCATCAGCAGGAAACGAGCAGCGGAGCAAAACTGCTTATCTCTCCTCCAAATCTGCAATTCTCTACCCAAACTCCTTCAACTCCAATCCCATATCTTCAAATTAGGCCTACAAAATAACCCACTTGTCCTCACTAAATTCACCTCCATTTCCTCTGACCTCAACGCCATTACCTACGCTTCATCATTCATCTTTTCCCCGTATGTTAAACCCCTTTTCTTTGATGCCTTTCTTTTTAATACCTTTATCAGAAGTTATGCTTCAACTAGTGATCTAAAGCACAATGCTTTATATTTGTATTGTAAAATGTTAAGTTATGGTATTTGGCCTAATAAGTTTACGTACCCTTTTGTTCTTAAGGCTTGTGCTGGTATTGGTGAGTTGAAATTAGGCCAAATTGTTCATGGGTCAGTGTTGAAACTTGGGTTTGATGATGATTCTCATGTTTTGAATACTATGGTTCATATGTATTGTTGTTGTGATGGTGGAGTTGAGAACGGGCGGAATATGTTTGATGAAATGCCTAAATGGGATTCAGTAGGGTGGAGTGCTATGATAGGTGGTTATGTGAGATGGGGTTTGTCTTGTGAGGCTGTAGAGTTGTTTAGAGAAATGCAGGTTGCTGGGGTAGCACCCGATGAAGTTACGATGGTTTGCTTGTTGTCTGCGTGTACGGACTTGGGTGCACTCGAGCTAGGGAAGTGGCTCGAGGCATATATCGAGAGGGAGAACATTCTGAAGAGTGCTGTTCTTTGGAATGCTTTAATTGACATGTTTGCTAAATGCGGCGATGTTGATAAAGCTCTGAGTTTGTTCAGGAGCATGAGTCAAAGGAATATTGTTTCTTGGACTTCGGTTATAGATGGTATGGCGATGCATGGCCGGGGAACTGAAGCTGTTTCATTATTTGAGGAGATGAAGAAAGATGGGGTTGTACCTGATGATGTTTCCTTTATTGGGTTACTTACTGCCTGTAGCCATTCGGGTTTAGTTGAGCAAGGCAAGGGATACTTTTATTCGATGACAAAGGAATTCGGGATTTCACCAAAGATAGAACACTATGGATGCATGGTTGATCTGTTATGCAGAGCTGGACTTGTTCAAGAAGCATTGGATTTTGTTCAGAGAATGCCCATTAAACCAAACCCAGTAATTTGGAGAACACTTATTACTGCTTGTCGTGCTCATGGTGAGCTGCAGCTTGGTGAAAAAATAACAAAAGAGTTGATAAAACATGAGCCTACGCATGACTCTAATTACGTACTACTTTCTAACATTTATGCAAAAATGTTTTCTTGGGAGAAGAAGACCATGATTAGGGAAGTTATGGTGAAAAAGGGAATGAGAAAGGTTCCAGGGAGCACTATGATTGAGCTGTACAATGAAATCTATGAATTTGTGGCAGGAGATAAAAGTCATAGTGAGTACAAGATTATTTTTCAGATGGTGGATGATATTGGCAAGGATATTAGAAGAGCTGGATATATTGCTTCAACATCAGAAGTGCTACTTGATATTGATGAAGAAGATAAAGAGGGTGCTTTAAATAGGCATAGCGAAAAGCTTGCTATTGCATTTGCCCTTATGAAGACACCTCCTGGAACTCCTATCCGAATTGTGAAAAATTTACGAGTCTGTGAAGATTGCCACTCTGCAACTAAATTCATCTCGAAGACTTGCAAGCGAGAAATATTGGTCAGGGACAGGAACCGATTTCACCGCTTCATAGATGGGGTTTGCTCATGTAAAGACTTCTGGTAGCTTAATGTGCATGACGTTGTGATCATTCAGTCATGCTAAGGCAGGAGTTTCTTTGCCGTGAGCATTGATAGCTGAGCAGCTTATCCAATATGCATGAACCTTGCATAAACGATGGAACTAAAAGTATGATGCTATGAAAGAAGATATATATTCTGGGACGTCTAAAATCCAGAGAACCTGTGGGACATTATCTTGGCTTGGATTCACCTGTGAGTTTCATTGTATCTTTGTCTCTCTGTGGAGGCATTGCTTGGGTGGAACACGTAGGATGTTGCTAACCATGGCATGGTTGCCTTCCTTAAACGTTGTCTTTGACTTGTGGCGTGACATCAATCCTGAGCAAAGGTGATGAATGCATGAGCCTTGTACAATTGATAAACAAAAAAATGCCCATAACAATATTTGAAGTATACGTAATAAATTTATCTTAATTCATAAAGATGCTTTGAGAAAGGGGAGCTTGGCGCAACAATAAGAGTTCGTGTTGTGTGATCAGGATGTCATTGTTTCAAGCCATGAAAACAGCCTCTTACAGAAATATAAAGTAAGACTGCATGAGACTGTTGTTGGGACCCCCTCCTAAAGCGGGAGCTTTGTCATTGGGCTGCCCCTTAAAAAGATGCTCTGTGTTGTGAGATGTTGTATTTTCAAAATGCTTTTGATTCCTAAATCGCAACAGAGGAAAATTCAGGAACTTGGTCCTCAATTTTCTGTGAACACCCATTTTGCTTAGATTGACGATATGAAATGACCTAACGGCATTCTAGTTTGTTTGACGAGGTAAATTTAGTAAATGACTATCAAAGCTGTACATTCTTTTAATATGCATTGGAAATGATTTAAGATCATGATCAAACAAAATGTGTTCAATCCTACAAATAAGATTTCTTTGTCCACGTTCTACAGATAGGAATAATGAAAAAAGGCCCCAAAGGCTGACATATACATTTCTTTTTCCACGTTCAATGCAGCAAAATTTTAATTAGCTTGTCATTTACTATAACTTTAGTAAAATGTAATCCTTTCTTTAAAATTAAAATAAGGATGCAGAGACATATTTTGTTAAAAGCGCATACTGTTGCTTACTCGATTATTCACTCTTCCAATCCAGGGAAAATATTTTTTAGAATTCAAAATGCCCTGTTACTTCAATGGTTCGCAAATAGTAATTGGCAACATTTGTGGCTTAAAAAGTAACTTTATTGCAAGAATTATCACTTCAATTGCGTTAAAAGTGTGTTTCCTTCAAACTTTTAACGTGCAGCAGAAAACTATCTCAATAGGTTGCAAGAACAGATCTGAAAGTGCAAATGGCATCAATATGAACTAAATCCACTAGAGAGAAGACCACCTCGGGTAACAAATTGAAATTAGAAATTTGCAGAACAAAGCAAGCTAAATCTGTATATCACTTGGGACATCCAGGTGTGACACAATACATTTTACCACAAAAAGAACGCCTCAATCTCAAGCAAATTGGGATCTGGCTTCATTCATCATTCATGTCGCTTCATTCATCATTCATATCGCTTCATTTAAATCTGTCTCAATACGATATTATATAAAAATAAAAATATCAACAAAAAAATAATATCTCTAATAGTAGAAGTTCTCTTAACTCTCTGACAAAACCGAAAAATGCTTAGCAAATATCATGTCTAAATTAGTCGGGCTAGTAAGGTTTGATTAACCAAAGACTAAAAAAATGTTCTCACCTGCCTTTACAGAGGTCTGCTACCTTAATTGTACCTAATCTAAAGAGAAAAGGGAAATAACTTGTTGAATTTAAGTGCTATTTCCCCTAGAGGTTCCACTCAAACACTGCATAGTTACTTGGCTTTGCAGCTACAGAGTCAGATAGCAAAAATAGCTAGCTCACATACAGAAGGGAGGAAGAGGAAAAATGAAAATCTTGTAGCAGAATATAGAAACAGCTATTGATGTATCTATAATATCAACACTAACCATAATATATGAATTTAATTTGCATTCAAAGCTGCTAAGAGCTTTGAATATCCCAAAAATCTTAAATATGAAAGAAAGAAAAAAACTAATTTATCCAACAACAAAAAAAAAAGTAACATATCATCCTATTTCATCCAAGAGCAAAAGCCATCTAAAAAAACACCTATTCAAACCTTGTTTTCCTGCCACTAATATAAAGTTAATCACTCATGCCCTTTTGTCAATATTCCCAATTTCATCAACCAAAACTTCAAATTTAGTCTTGTGAATCACCCTTCTTCCCTGATCCACTCTGTTCTCTCTCAGTCAACAATATCCCACTTTCCTCATCTTCTTGCTGAGACCTCTTCTCTACTTCATTTGCTTTCAATGCTTGCAATTTCTGATGATTATAATATGCAACTCCCAAGAATGCCAATCCATACCCAATCAAGTTCACTGGAGTTACAGTATCCTTAATCACTGACCAAGAAAATGCAATAAGCAGCCAATCTTTAACCACCCCACCAATATTCATAGTCAAAGCTGAAGTCTTTCCCACTACCAAGAATACAGCCAAGTTCAATGCAAATGCACATAATGAATTACTACCAAAAATCACAAAATCAAATTTGAAAGAATTACTTGCTCTCAAAATTGGAAGCTCCACAAATATCCAAGGAATTGACAAGAAAACCAAACAACTAGGAGCAACATAGTATAAAGTAGCTATAGGGTTAAAACTAATTCCCCTAGAATTCAACAAGATTTGAACCATAACCAATCTTGTTGCTTCAACCAAAACAGCTAGCAACTGAAGTAAAACACCCCAAGAATCATATTTTGCTTCACCATAAGCAGCAATAGCAACACCAACTGAAATAGCAAGCATGTTACACATAGTTGAATTCTTGAAAGTGTCCTTTTTAAACAATATTCCAATGGTGTAAACAGCAACTGGCATTAGGGCTTTAAGCATTTGAATGAAGGAAACAGAGAGGTAAATGTAAGCAGAATTTGAGAGCCATAAGGAAAGAGAGTAGAGTGCACCAATGGGGAGTACGCATGTAAAGTACACGTGGCGGGACAAGGTTACAGGTTCGACAAAGTTAAGGATACGTACGAGGAAGAAAGCTAGTGATGAACAAAAGGCCATGTGAATCATTGTAAGGGAAATAGGGAAAGGCCAGTTGTAGAGTTTTTTGTCAAGAATATATTTGTTGTATACAATTACTGCGGAAGAGAGGACGATCCAGATTCCTAAGTAGGAGTAGGAAATAATTATCTTCTTCATTATTCCGCCGGAGAGGGTGGCGCCACCTTTACCTGTCATGGTGGCGGTTGACGGCGGAGGAAATGGCGGTGGTGGAGAAGAGGAGGGTAGTGAGAGTTAACAGAGAAATTTGGCTGTGTATAGAATTTGAGAAGATGGGAAAAAAAGTGAAGAAAGGACTTAGATTTTATGTAGAAGTCTTGTTTTGCTTTTTGAGTTCAATTCTAATTACGGTAAATATAATTTAATACAATTAGGATTTAGGATACTTAAAAACAATTACCAAGATAGGTGTATTCTAGATTACATTATTAAATTGAGTCTGTAAAAGTCTTTTATATTTTTAAAAAGTTACACGTGTTTTTTGAACTAGTACTTCGATATTTACTAGGAATGGGGACCATAGTATACCTCGTATAAGTTATTAATTTATTTCTTCTGGTAAAATTAATATTATACACTAGGTGATCTTTATCTCGGAAAGAAAAGGTAGCAATGACAGTTTAAAAGTACAACTCAGATAGAAAAATCAGTTGATACCTTTTATGAACAAAAAAAGGAGAAGAATATTGAAAAGGGGTTGGTCGAGATGGAACGAGTCCATTAAATAAATTTATTACCGTGAAGACAAAATCTTAAGTAGATGAGAGTGGTGCGAGTTATACAGAGAGTTTGGACTGTGTAGGGTTTAGGGGAGGAGAAAAAGTGAAGGATTCAGATTTTATGTAGAAGATGTGGAAAATAGTGGTGTATGGTTTAATGAAAATTGACAGAGTTATAGTTCTAAGTAAAAACAGCACGAGCTAGCCAGTTTTCGGATTGGTCATTCAAAAATAGCCAGCGTTTGTAAAGTCATTGAAAAATAATCACTATTTTGCTGCAACACGAAAAATTCCAGCATAATATACTGGAGATCGGTGCACATGTGTATGAAATTTCAGCATATTACGCTGGAACTCCAACACAGGGAAAGTTCCAGCATAATATACTGGAGATTGGAGCACTTGTGTATGAACTTCCAGCATATTATGTTGGACCGGTATATTATACTTGAACTCCAGTATATTGTGTTGGAAGTCCAGTATACTATACTGGAGTTCAAGTATACTTATGCTAGAACTCTGGTATAATATACTGAAGTTCCAGTATATTATGTTGAAGTATTTTTCGAATTTTGAACAGTGTTTTCGTTCAAATTTATCATTACATAAAAAGTGACTAAATTTTGATTAGTTTTGAATTTTTCCCTAGTTTTAATCGTTTCCCCTTTTCTTGTGTAGATGAATCTGGATCCTTAGGGGGAAAAGTTAATGTATTTTGACTTTTTGAGTCTAATTCTAGCTATGAGCAATGCTAATCTTGTATGAACTTCATCATAGTATCGGATTGAATCATAACTTCATCCTACATCATGTAGGTACAGGTTTTACACTCTTCCACTGAGTAGGAGTTCAATTTCCATCCAAAACAATATTTAAAAGATAAGATATGATTTCGTAGATCTAACCTTGACTTGTCGACTCATTGCTCAAATTGCTTTTGTATTTTTAGCTAGAATTATGTTTTGTTTTACTGTGAGTGTTGTAAACAGCTGTCTTATCTACTGTTTAATTATTTAATCCGTATATGCTTATACATCTTACCACATATCACGAGTGCTATCCATGGGAATAATTCATCATGCCAAATTGAGTACCTCCACTCCTAAGTCCTAACCCCTTAAAGATAGTAACAAAATTTCCCTATCGTATCACCACAATTTCTGCAATTGCACAGGATTATAACCGACCAGGTCTTCACAACATGATCCCAGCAGTGTAGAACCATCAGGAAAATAGCTCCAGAAACACAAATTAACCAAATATTATGCATGTTGAAGTACCAGCTAACATTAATATGATTCAGCAACTAAGCATAATAAAATTCATTGGGAGAAAGTTATAGCGCTTAAAAAAATAAAAACAGACACATTGTAGTGCTTCTCTTAACTGACAAGAAAAGAGTAGTTCAACAAGGGTACAGCAGCTCAGCAGTGCCAAAGCATATAGTAGGAGGCCACCAATTCTTCAAATAACTGGTCCAAAAGTCAACATGGTCGATGAACAATAGCAAAACACCTGTCAGTTCCCCCCATCTTTTAGCCGAAATGACTTGATATTTGCTGGAAGCTCTCGAGATCACTAAGATGGCACTGCATACACCAAAAAAAGCACATAAACACCAAGAATACTTAAAGGGAGCAATAAATCAAACACCAAGAGAACAAGGGCATACTGTATGTAGAAGTATCAATCTGCTCAGGAAGCTCTTTTATGTCTACTTCAAACCTTTCTTGAACCTACAATAGTGAAGCACAAGCAACTTAGAATCATATGGACAAAAAGAAATCATAACAAGATAAAATATTCAACAGTCTACAAACCTGATTTAGAACATCAGAATCTGATGCAGAAGACACAAATGTGATGGCAAGGCCTTTAGTTCCAAACCTACCAGCTCTACCCACCTATCAATGTTTTCAAACATAAAGGAATTAACACTACAAGCATAATTAGATGTCAAAAGTTGAAAGTACAGACTCCAAAGAAAGTAGGACCTACTCTGTGAAGATAAGTGTCTGCAGAATCCGGCATGTCATAGTTAATAACAATGTTGACCCTTTCGATGTCAATGCCCCTACCAACCAGATCAGTTGCGACGAGAATTCTCTTGTGACCCTCCTTGAAACCCTTGTAGCGAGTCAATCTATCCATTCAAACGCAGAAATGTCAAAGAATCGCAGTCACAATTACAAAGAGTTTAACAAAACATCAAGAATAGCGTCTTATAAATTTCACACCATTCCTATTCCAAACAACTGACATGCAATAAAGTCGTCAGGAAATTAGAGAGAAGATGCCTGCAAGCTTTAACTATGTCAACAGGGAAGAAAACGAAGAAGACAAAATAGCAGATACATCAAAAGACATCCTATCTCATCGTCTAAATCATAAAAAGATGTTAGAAAGAGATTCTAACTGATTATCTGGCTATCGTTACCCGCTTTTTTGGGTGACAAGTGGCTACCACTACTTTATTTTTACGTTTTTACAAGTAATGCAATATTTAATAAACGATAAACCTGCAGCATGCTAGTGCTAAAAGACTGCTACCACTATTTTATTGCACTATGCGCAAATTTATAAAACAAAAAATGTATACTGTTCCATATTTAACGTTTAACTAGAATAAACAAGTACAAAAGAAGAACAGCATTTCAACAATAGTAACAGACCTTTCTTCCTGAGTCATGCCAGAGTGGATGCAGATAGATGGAAAATTACACTCCACTAGTAATTTATCCAGCTGTGCAGCCCTACTTACACTCTTGACAAATATAACAACTTGGTTGAAGTCCAAGGCGTCCAGCAGATCATTTAGTTTCCGGTTTTTCTCGGTTTCGCTCAATTTAATGTAGTGCTGTTATCGAATAGAAACAAGATAAGAAAGCTAACTCGGACGTAAAGAAATACATGGCATCATATGCATGCACCCAAGATGTACCTGTACAAGTCCATGAAGGGTCAACTTGGCCTCATCGTCAACATAAATTTCCATAGGCTGAAAGGAACAAATGTCATAGTAAAGCATGTTAGGAGCTTCGTGAAGCTAATGACATCCAGAATGAAACGAACGATGGATGAAGAAGAATTGGAAGTCCATCTGTGCATTTTCTCCTTGGAGATGTAAAATCAGAACAACTATGTCTCATTGTTGCTCAATATTGTTTACAACTGCACTAACAAGAATCTTTCCCGCAACAGTGCAAGCACCGATTCCACCCAGATTATCCCATTCTAGTCAATACCTTCCCCCAACACTCCAGGCTTTTTTAAAAATTATCTAGGAACTTCTGACACAAGCACAATTGGAAGAAGACAAAGGAACTACAAGCTCAGTGCAACCCATTTTCTTTGTACACGTGCCCTCTGGCTGACCAAATAAATTCACTACTAAGTGCCTGGAGAAATCTGATATTATGGAAAACAGAAAACTTAGAATTTCAAGTAGAGCTGGCAGAGGACATTACATCTTGCATAAATTTTTTGCAAACTGGGCGGATCTCCTTGCTGAGTGTTGCTGAAAACATCATTACTTGCTTGTCATGGGGAGTCATCTTGAAAATTTCCTGCACATCTCTCCTCATGTCTGCAAACAAAGTACATGTATCATTTTTTTCTTGATAAGGACAAAGTACATGTATCATATCAATACAAAAAGAGAATATCGTGGAAATGGGCAACTAGATTCATGAAAGCAGAATAGTAAGCCAAGACATACCAAGTGATTCAAGCATCTTATCGCATTCATCCAGAACAAAATGCCTCACATTCCTCAGAGATAGGTCCTTATCTCTAGCCAATGAAAGTACTCTCCCAGGAGTTCCAACAACAATGTGAGGGCATTCATTCTTCAGAAGCTCCTTGTGAAGTTTGATGTTTACACCACCATAGAAAACAGCAACCTTGATATCGGGCAAATATGTGCTGAACCGTTCGAATTCATGACAGATCTGCAGACAGCCAAAGAGTCCCACACGAAAGAGGGTTACTTAAATAAATGGAAGGAAAAAAAAAAGTTGATTTTGAAACAGAACTGTAGATTTCATTACATACCTGATAAGCTAATTCCCTTGTATGACATAGAACCAAGGCAGCAACCTGACCAGCAACAGGTTCAACTTGTTGCAGAGTCGAAAGAACAAAAACAGCCGTTTTGCCCATTCCAGATTTGGCTTGACAAATAACATCCATACCCAGAATAGCTTGTGGAATACACTCATGTTGCACTGATGAAGAGAACCAAATAGAGTGGAGCCAAGGACTCAGTTTCAGTTTAAAAAAGTTTACCACTGTACACTTCTCCAAAATAGTAGTGATAGTAATAATTTACCTGAAAATAGATAGAGAAATAAATTGTCAAGAACCGCCCAGTAAGCAAACAGGGTGAGGTTTTGCCCAAAACAATGAATGAATAATCAAAGAGAGAAAAAGGGAGCTTGAATCAGCGTACATTGCAAAAACACAAAAATATTGCCCTAAAAGAAACGCCTTGACCACGTTTCAGAACACTAAAGTACAATTTGTTTCACAGTCAGATGCTATATATAACACCATGAGCTTATGATTACAAAACTCAAAGAAAGTGGCCCATAGAACTTTTCACCTACAACTAGTGCATAAACTTGAAGGTAAACCCGATAATAAATTCAAATTATTGGAGAAGATGGACTTTTTAAAGGATTCAATCAATCAAACAACAGAACCTAATTCCGATTGGCGATATGAATCCAAAAAATTATTCCGCATTACACCATTATCATCAATACACAGCAGGGCACTGGGAAGGGGAAGAGGGAGATATGGGAGACTATTCCTGCTTGTGTTAGGAGGGTGATTTGGAATGAGAGGAGCCAAAGATGTTTTGAAAGCAAACATGAAAACATTTATACTTTGAAATACAGATGGATCCCCTTGTATGGTTTTTGGGACTAGAAGATCTTAAAACAGTTGATATGATGATACATTTTCTCTGTTTCATGTTTAATTAAAGAGTGAAGAAACCAGAGCGCAGAGATCAAAATGAATTCAAAGGGTTGTCAAACTTAGCCAATGAAAATGTAACTAGTTTAACCCATCCAAACTTGGACGTGTTGGGATAGGGATATATTCACTGATGGGCCACAATTCAGACAAAACCCAAATTTGGCCACAAAATACAGAAGTATCTTATTGGTTAGTTCTTTATGAATATCTCCCTTTACACTCTCCTTAAAAAGAAAACTTCTTTGGCTTGGCTTGGCTTGGAAATTATTCTCTTTCAATTTAGTTCACCAACTATCTCTCTCTTTAAAGAGACATATTTCTACCTGATGCCTCCTTAACAGTGTTTTAAAAAGCGACAAGCGATCGCTTTAAGCGAGAAGCAATGCGATGGCTGCTCGCTTTTCCATGCCTGAGGCGACTCGACCACACAAAGCGCTCGCTTCAGTCGAAAAAGCGCGAAGCGACCTTGAAGCGAGAAGCGCAGAATCGCTAGCTTCTGTTCAGAGGGGTCAGTTTTTTTAAAAGAAAAAGTTTGTGTCTGTTTTTTTATTATACAAAACAGACCTCTAAAGACCAAAGTGAAAACCATTTCTCTCTTCTTCCCAAAATCAATTGTTGTTGAGTGCTGCTAGGGTTCAAGTCGCCAGAGACCTCCAATCCTCCAGGTAATTTTTCTTCTTTATTTCTTCTCCCTCTCCTTCTCCTTTTTTTTTTGATGACCGAGAAATCCGTCTGGGCCGATCCTTTGGACCAACCGCAGCCTTCGAAACTCGGTGGATAATGGGCCCGCCCCTCTACCCTTCTCCACTTAAATACCAGACTTTGCTTTGCATGGTGTGGGGGCTTGAACCTGTGACCTAAGACACAAATCCACCACCCTTTGCCACTTGAGCTAGGCCCTGGGGGCTTCTCCTTTCTTCTTCTCCTTTTTTTCTTTCTTCTTTCTTCTTCTTGTTCCCGTCCAGGCGTCTGCTCACAGCTAGGGCAGGCACGATTTTTTTTTTCCTTTTATTCTTTTTATTTAGTACTTTAGCCTTTATTTATGAATTTGTATGTGTATTTCAATTTATTTATATATATTTATATATATATATATATATATATATATATATATATTTTCAGTTTATTTGATTAGTATTTTTGCCTTTGTTTATTAATTTTTATGTGTATTTCAGTTTATAAAGTTAATGCTAAAATACTAATCAAATAAACTGAGAATATATATATATATATATATATATATAATTTTCAGTTTATTTGATTATGTTTTGTTCCTATATATAAATTGAACTTTTTGATTATTTATATTGTGTCTTTGTATATTATTTTCAGTTTATTTGATTATGTTTTGTTCCTATATATAAATTGAACTTTTTGATTATTTATATTGTGTCTTTGTATATTATTTTCAGTTTATTTGATTATGTTTTGTTCCTATATATAAATTGAACTTTTTGATTATTTATATTGTGTCTTTGTATATTATTTTCAGTTTATTTGATTATGTTTTGTTCCTATATATAAATTGAACTTTTTGATTATTTATATTGTGTCTTTGCAAGGTTTACATTATGTTTTTTAAGAATTGCGCTTCACTTCAATGAAACGTGCGCTTCGCTTTGCGCTTCGTTTTTGAAGCGAGGCGAGCCCCCATCGCTTTTTTGCGCTTCTCGCTCTCAAAAACACTGCTCCTTAATGGTGGGTACATATCACTCTATAACTTCACTCTCTTTTCTCTATAAATAGCATAAGTTTTTTAGGATCCCCAGGGCTTAGTTCAAGTGGCAAAGGTTGAAGGACTTGTGACTTAGGTCACAAGTTTGAACCATGTGCCATACAAACTAAACCTAATATTTAAGTGGAGAATAGTATTAGTGACATGCCCATTATCCCCGAGTTCCAAAGGCTGCAGTTGGTTCTTGGGGAAGGTCCTAGGACATCAAAATAAAAAATTAAGTTTGTTCTGGGTTTTTAGGTGTAATTTACTCTCTATTCAATTTCACCAAGTTTCCCTTTATTAAGCCATTTTTTGATTGAATTGGATATGTATTTTCTTCTCTACGCTATAAAGAATAGAGCTTTTTTCGTTTGCTAATTACACAAATTATCAGAAAAACAAAACAAACTAATAGTTTGACTTGGGGTGGCTTGTGCTATACCTGGTTGTTTAGCCCAAATTGACCCACCCATCATGACCTACACAATTTGTATGTTGGATCATGAAATATTTTATCAATCCGTACTGAAATACACAAATAAAGTTCAATACTTCCATTTGACACCCCTAAAACAGCATAATAAAATGAAGATTGCCTTCAGACAGCTCAAAAATCTTTATTAAATGTTTGAACATCACTCATTGAACAAGATGATGGCAAGCATGACACCCGATAGAACAACAAATTTTATATTTCTTATTGGTAACTAAGATATCCCAAAAAAAGAAAATAAAACACCCCATAAAACAGCAAATTGCAGAATCAAATGCAGAGATAAGAGATGACTTGCCTTCAGAGGGATGCTCAAACCCTGAATCCACAATAGCCCTCAGTAGCTCTGGCTTTAAAAGAAAGTCTCTGAATCCGGAGCTGTGAATTCCAACATAACCCCTGTATTGACAAAGCATGACAACAACATTTCAGACTTAATGCAAGAATCAAATATCTCAGGCGTAAGATGAGGAGTATTAACCAGACATCATCGCAAACTAAATCATTTATCAAATAAACATGCAGACATATTTAAAAAATTCTCATTTCTCACTATATAGACATGACTACATAAGAGAGGGCACCGGTCTTCCAAACTCAAACTATATTAAAAAGAATAAGAAATACATATTTATATCTCACTTTCTAACTTTAAAGCACATAAAGATAAAAAATAAAAATTCTCACTTTCAATCCATAATAGAGATGAGACCGCAACAATTGAATTGATTATCTTCATGCATATGGGTACAGGATTACATAGTAAAAATATGAAAAAGAACTCTACAAAGAGGCATAGGCTGAGGCGCACAACTTACTTTACACACACACATAGTAAGTTCACATGTTCAAAGAGACATTAGAAAAAAGTAACAGAACATAGAGAATGAAGTATAAAGCTCACTTCTTGGCGGACTCGCCGTTAACTTTTCCGTTGACTAAATCGGGGGCCTTCTCATCATCTTCTTCGTAGTCGAGAAGCTCTTCCTCGTAAGCATCGTTCTCCTTGTTCTCTCCCATTTTTTGCTACTTAACTCTATATGTAAGTAAATCACAGATCTTTTAAAACAAATTATTTCAAAATCTAACAAAACTATTCAGCTCAGTAAATCAATAACAGTGAATTTCCAAACTATATTGCACAAAACGAAGAAAATAAGATAAAACTTTCACAGGGAACTGCTTACCAGCTGGAGACTACCGGAAAAGCTGAGTTCTTGCGGCGAATTAGGGTTAGGGTTTGTTGCGTCTGCAGAGAAAAATGTTAGAACAAAACGAGTGTTGAGAGAGCGTTTGAATTGGAGGGGACGGGTACAGGTTATTAGCGAGGGCATACTGGCTTTTTTACTATTTTGTCCTTGCGTTATTTCAAAAAATACGGGTTTGTACTAAGTCGGTAGTGTACTAGTGGTGCATTTTTGTTTTGGTTTTTCCAACAACTTTTATTACTTTGACACTTTGAGGGAGGGAAAGGACAAAATAAAGATAATGTTACGAAATAAAAGCAATTTAGTAAAATATGAACAAAAAATAGAGATAGAGATAGAGTGAATGAAGAGATTTTTTTTTTAATTGTGTCTTTTTCTATCTATTACAAGGCATTTATAAAGACATGAAAAGTGAAGAATCACTATTGTAAAATATGTCATTGAACATGTCATTAAGCATTTGAGAGGAAGATCATGAAAGAAGTTATGGAGTTACAATTATAATTCCATAAGTATTAGAATAGTGTGAGTTAGGGAGATAATGGAGAATAGTAGACATCCACCATAATTTAATTTTTCTTATAACATTCCCCCTTGGATGTCCATATATAATGTGTCTCGTTAAAACCTTATTAGAAAATAAAAACTTATGGGAAAAAATTCTAGTGAAGGAAAAATAGTACACATATTTAGAAATGCGCCTTTTGGTTGCCTCATTAAAAAACTTACAAGAAAAACTCAGTGGGACAAAACTTGTAAGGGAAAAATAGTACAACGTATATTAACTCCCCCTTATGAGAGTATCAATTCACATCCTTGAGCTTTCGCATTCAAATCTTGTACACTAGTTTCTTAAAGGTTTACGTCGCTAGAGAATTGGTGAACAAATAAGCCATATTAGCACTTGAACGGACCTGTTGCACATTGATATCACTATTCTTTTGAAGATCATGTGTGAAAAATAATTTTGGTGACATGTCTTTGTCATATCTCCTTTTATGAATCCTCCTTTTAATTAGGCTATGCATGCTGTATTGTCTTCATACAAAATTGTGGGTAATTTGTCATACTTCAACCCATATTTTTCTCGAGTAAGATGTATTATAGACCTTAACCATACACATTCTCGACTTGCTTCATGAATAACAATTATCTCAACATGATTAGATGAAGTAGCCACGATTGGTTGCTTAGTCGATCGCCAAGATATGGTTGTGCCTCCACATGTCAACACATAGCATGTTTGAGATTGAGCCTTGTGTGGGACAGATAAATACCCAGTATCGGCATAACCAATAAGATTGAAATTGCAATCATTGCCATAAAATAAGTCCATATCGGTAATCCCTTTTAGATATCGTAATATGTGTTTGATTCCATTCCAATGTCTCATAGTAGGAGCAGAGTTATATCCTGCTATGATATTAACTGAAAAAGTTATATCGGGCTTTGTAGTGTTAGCAAGATACATTAGTATACCAATTGCACCAAAATATGGTACTTCAGGACCAAGAAGCTCTTCATCATTTTTATGAGGTCGGAATGGATCTTTATTTATATCGAGTAATATCACAACCATCGGGGTACTCAATGGATGTGCTTTATTCATATAGAAACGCTTTAAAAGTTTTTCAGTGTATGTTGATTGATGGATAAAAATTCCATCTTTCATATACTCAATTCGCAAACCAATACAAAATTTTGTCTTTCCAAGATCTTTCATTTCAAATTCGTTCTTAAACAGTCCACTGCTTTAGGAAGCTCCCCCAGGATTTCCAATAATATTTAAATCATCAACATACACGGTGATTATAACAAATTCAGATTCAGACCTTTTTATAAAGACACAAGGACAAATTGAAACATTCTTGTACCCTTCTTTCAACAGGTACTCACTCAGGCGATTATACCATATGCGTCTTGATTGTTTCAATCCGTATAAGGATTTTTGATGATTTATTTATTAAATTTCTTCGAAGCCTTAATATGCTTCAGAACAATTTAAATCATTCAATTATTTTCATTATACGCATATCAAGTTTTTCATGTATTGCCAAATTAAAACATGAAATGACTACATCTACCACATAAGAACATGTCTCTATATAATCAATACTAGGATATTTACAAATTTTCTTGTGACACAAGTCATCTTTATGTCTATCAACTTGATTTTTTCGCACAATAACACATTTATACCTCCACTGCTTTATACTTTCAGGTGTTGGACTATCCGTCTAACTTCACATTTTTCAGGTGAAATCAATCTTGATTGCGTATATTTTTTTATTTTGGCCAATCATTTACCTGTCTACATTCCCTGACAGGTTTGAGCTCAAGATCCTCGTCAATATTAATAACATTGAGCGCTATATTATATTAACATCATCGTCGACGGTCATTTTATATCGGCTCTATTGTTACCCAATAAAGACATAACTTATTGAGATCTCTTTATCTCGTTATTTTCAGGTACACGAGCCTCTCTCATGAGGTCTTATAAAGTGTTATGTCGTGATACTCTTTTAGAGTATTTGCCTCCTTATTATGACCATCTTGAACATTTGCTCATCTCCTTCTTCAAGGAGTTTTATCTTTGGAATCGGTTAGTCAATTACGCTTTATGCGTGGCATAAAATATATCAATCAGAGACGTTATTCTATTTGGAGCATTAGCAGCTGAAATATAACATTTATTTTTGGGTCAGAAAATGCGTCTCGCAATAATTTGCAAATAAATTATCACTTGAACTTCAAGTTCTATTTTTTTGTGCGATGATCTATATGTATTCATAATAATTCATTCCACGTATCAATTTTTCAATTGCCTTTTTAATCCTCTTAATGTTGGGCTTACAAACACATTTCCCAACCTTCTTTGGGAACCTATCTTTGTGCATTCTGACGGCATAATTAAATCATATAGCACATCCATATTTCTAGATGAAATTAGTTGGTTCCTCATCATGAACCGATTGTGATAGGAAGAACTTTTTATAACTTGGCTAGATGCGTACAAGTGTTGTTGTATATTAAATAATACATCGCATACCAAATTTCATTTTGGGAGTTTTGTTCTCATACCCAATGATTTAGCTATAATTGAAAGCATACAATTTCTGCTAAACCAACTTGGATTTAAACCAGTATTATCAAGATGAATCATCATAATTTATATTTTGGAACATTGCTCTAAAAATTTGAGCAAGTAACCTTGCAAGAGTCAAACTACAAGTTGAACAAATGCACATGTGACCATAGAATATATGCATCTATTAAAATCACATAATAATAAACGATCCACATGGCAATTGACTGAGCTCATATATTTATTATCTTTTATTTGCTCCAGAAATCAAGGGATTCAATCCCAACCTTAACTAGTATATCACGAGAATAAGCAGCACAAGAGAATTCTTGAAGTATCTTTTATTTCTTCAATATATGTCAATGTAATTCTCAATTAATTTTTCGCATCATAATTGAACCGGGATAGCCAACCGGTCATGCCAACTAATATTTATTTCATTAAAGCTCTAGTTTACTTATGACATGTGATTGCATCACCATGCATACACTTGTGTAGTGCAAACATAAGAAAAGTTAGGTAACCTTTCATATTTACCCGATATGATTATAGTAATATAAAGATATTCAATTTTTCTTTTATTTATAGTCTCAATATGCTAACCATTTTGGCTAATACATTTGAAACTCATAATGTTTCTTTTGAGACTTACTATAATATCAATGTCATGAACAATTTTATTCATCCGGGTAGTAACAAATTAGTTCTTTTAGAGCTCTCAATTGCTTTTGTACTACAAGATCTTTTGTCACACCATCCATATAATGAATATCTCCTTCACAGAGAAAATCATATCATAATAATTGTCATAGTCAAAATCATCATTAAGCAACTTCAACTCTTGCTTTAATATTGCCTTTAATAACTTCCTATAAGGCATGGCAAATTTTATTTTGTTGACATATTTATGTAACCACACAGTAATACTCATTATCTTATTTATGTAACCACACAGTAATACTCATTATATTTCTTTCTGTCATACCTCCCTTATAGGTAAATTGTAGTATCTATTCAACCATGCATAAGCATATTCTTCTGTATAATTTGTATCATATATACCACATTCACTTTCAGGAACGAGTCCGCATTCACAATGCTTATCCGAAGTCGCATTCTCTTTAAAGAATGGACCATAATTATTTGGACGTATCTTATGACTTATCATATCAATGGCAAATACTACCTTCATCTTTTGAATGGTTACTTTGAGAACCTTTGTTACTCTCTTAATTTTATTGACTACCGCCATGATGAGTATTATTTCGTCTCTTTGCCACGCCCATATAAATTTATACAACTATAATAATTATTTAGTCTTTTCTCAGACTTTTGATCTTCCGTTACCACATTAACTTCAGGGAATAGAGCAGATCCAGTGGAACTAACTTCATGATATTTTATTAAAAGGATATTAGTTTGCCTCATCTATCATTATATTATTGATATGATGCATTGGGATACGAACCCAATGTCTTACTCATATAAAGTCGTGTGAAGACATAATATTTTGGGACTTGAACCCAACATCTTATTATCATCTTACACAAAGAACCCAATGTCTCACAATCTCTTTCAAAATATTGCTACTTCATGAGCAATTCCAAAATATATAATACATAAAATATTTTTGTAACTTATATTCAATAAGTAACCATAGCAAGCCATAAAAATATTATCACTTTTGATGGTAGGCATAGACATATTCTGTTGTAGTATAGAAAGATTTAAAGTAGTATTTCCACTTTTAATGGTCATATTATATGTTGCAAATCTACCAACAGTTGCAAGACTCGTTTGTTGTATTTACTCGTATTCTAAAATTAGGATCATTGTATGCAACATAATGCTTAAAAGTACTACAAATTTAAATCATAGTATTATACCAATGCCAAAAGTACACTAGAAAAAATATCAAAATATTAAAGTTTCAATAGTAACTTTGAAATATGAAACAGAAACGATGTTAGGACATGTAATAGATTAGCAAAAGTAATGTTCCGTCACACCAATAT